GGCCTGCAGTTCTGCCTTGGATGAGGGAGTGGGCACCTGCACGATTGTGCGGATCTTGTCGTGCGTCGGGTGGATCCCTTGGGTATCCACCACAAACCCCAAGAATTCCACCCGTGGCACCCCTAGAAGACATTTTTCACGCTTCACCTTGAAACCGGCAGCATCAAAACGTCGAAGCACCACCCTGAGTCGCGCCGCAAAGGTCTCAGAGTCGGGTGCCGCTATCAGAACATCATCAAAGAATGACTGGACTCCTGGAATGCCTTTGAGGAGACAATCCATCAGATTTTGAAAAATCCCCGGGGCCACGCTTACTCCAAATTGTAGTCGCCCGACTCTGAAAGCCCCCACTGTGGGTCACAATCGTTTGGGCCTCGGCAGTAGCTTCGTCCACTGGCAATCACTGATAGACCTGTGTGCCAAGTCCAGCTTGCCAAAAACCTTATCGTCCACTGGCAATCACTGGTAAACCTGTGCCAAGTCCAGCTTGCTAAAAACCTTTGCCCCAGCCAATGAAGCCAATACATGACTGACCACCGGTACCGGGTATGCATGGTCCTGACGTGTCTTATTAATAGTACACATAATCAGCACAAATTCTCCCACTGGGCATGTGGCACGGGTTCTAGCACCCCTTGCTCCACCAGGCAGACCAGTTCTGCCTCAATCTTGGGCTGCAGCACGAACGGGTGCCGCCTGGCCTTCATTCGGATGGGCCTCACTGTGGGGTCTAGTTCTAGTGCAACCGGGGGCCCAGAGTATCGGCCAAGCTTACCATCAAATACCCCCGGAAACTCACTGCATATCGCATTAAAGTCCACGTCGGGCCGAGCCGGGCGCCTTACCTGGTGAGCTTCCTTGTTGTCCGAGACGTTGGAGTCTTGGGCAGCGATTGCCTGGTGTGCAGTGGTGGCCTGACAATCCTGTTGGGATTTCTCATAAGCGGAAGCAGCCCGGAGTGCCTTGTCGATCTTGAGGTCCTCCAGGCCAACGAGCTTCCTTCTCTGTTTTGGTTCCCGGACCGCCCAGACAAACGGGTTCAGGAGGGTGTCTTCGATGGCCGGGAATTCACAGTTGATTGCTAGCCAACGGATGTCGGCTAAGAAATCAGCGGCCGATTCTCTGGACCTCTGGGTGCGCGCCATGAAGTCCATCCGCATTGCCATTTTGGAGGGCTTCAGCGCGAAATGGTCCGTGAGGGCTTTTACCAGCTCGTCGTGTGGAGTGGGAGCCCACCCTCTGCTTTGCCTTCTAAGAATAGGAACCCCTCCTGTTGAACTCTATACATATTCTCCACCCCATGAGAGATAGTAGGGATAGAGGAAGGTTTGTCCCAAATGGACCTGGCCATGTCAAAAATACCCACCAACAGGGGGAAGGTGATTATCCCATGGGCACCAGAATAAAGACGGCCTAAGATTTTGTCCCTTGGCCTTGTGTCAGTTGTAGTAATATGAATTTCCAAGGACTGCGCCATCCTGATCATTTGTTCTGAATAAAGTCAGAGGACTCCACTTGGTGAAACAGGATCATGGTTCCCAACGGTGTCATCTGGAGATGAATAAGATGGTAGATCCAAGCTGGCTATGGAATGACACTCATCCTCCTCGGAACTGGAGAGAGATGTAGAAGGATGAGCAGGAGGCATCCGCCGTGATATCGAGGGCTGGTCTTTAGTTTTGGATGCGGAATGTCTCATTTCCAACAGAGGTTGGTACTGATCCCCCCACTTTTGTGGGAATGGGGAATGATGAAAGAAAGGATAGTGCTGCCAGTGTCCTGGAGGAAAGGCTTGTGGCCATGACAGAGGCAGAGCTGGAGCCAATAGAACTGAGGGTAGATTCTCAGGCAAGTCAACTTGCTCTGCAACCATTTCACCTTTGGAGATTGATGGAACTAGGGAGTGCAAATCTGGTGACAGTGTACGTGGTGCAGGTAGCTCAGTCGAATCACAAGGCACTGATCCAAAGGTCCTGCTGGATCTATCAAAATCGAACGATCCCTTTACCTTTCGCCTTAGCTTTATGCTTCTTAGGTGGCAGTTCCAACAAGGACTTCGCAGGGCCTGCTGCAGGGGACCTTGATTTTCTATGCATCGGATCCAATCTCATAACCAACAGGAGATCATTGAGGCCGGATAAGAAGGACAGTCCTCATGTGTGCAGATCTCAATGTTGAAGGAGAAGCAAGTTCCACCACGGCAGATGATTTAGCTGCTGGGTTAACAGAACCTGATAAAGCTTTCCCCCAGACATAACAGAAATAAAGAGTGTTTGTCTGTACACATCATTTTGGTGGCATAACAGGAACCTTTCTTTAAGAGATTTCTGCAAAATAATTCCAGCCAGAGAAAGACAAGAACCGAAGATCTGTCCCCAAAAGGGGTGACACTGGAATGTTCTTCACAGAGCAGCAGCAAAAAAAAAAAAAACCGAGAGAAAGGGGGACCACACGACCATTTGAGCAGGTAGACTGCCTCAGAGAAGCTCCAGATGGGAGGGGCTCCCCCTGCTCTGTTGCTAAGGCTAAAGAGATGCTAAGAAGTCTTCCTGGTGGCTGGCCTGCACATATGCAGTCCCAATGTGGGACTGCACAGAATGACGACAATGAAGTGCATCCTCTCCAGGGATGCTACTAAATTTTTGGAAATTCCTTTGTTTTGATTCAAAAAATCCAGTTTCTTCCTGCTCAGAACAAGACCACAATCATCTGATTTCCTGACCTCATTTATCAAAATGCATTTGCAATTCTGCCATTAAAATTGACATGCGCTGTTCAGGATCTTTGTGTCAAAACAGCAGTAGTGGAGTGTTAATACCACATTACAAACTAACTGAGACTTCTCTGTGACCAGTTAGCTCCTCCAACAATGCTACATCAAAAGCGATGCAAAAACAAACAAACAGGAAGGGGAGACCTGCTATTGGCAAATATGTGCTTTCTGTGTCCTCCAAGTCCAATGCTCCTCTTACTAGGCCGTTTTGATACCCATAGTCTTACGCAAAGATAGAGGATCCTCCCCTAACCTGCCTCCTCCCCAGTTTTCATCCCAGAGAGGTTTGCAGGACTGATCTTCCACAGTTCTTATCGTAATTCCACAGTAGCTTTTACTGATCAATTGTACAAAGTTAGAGAAAACAATAATTCTACATATAGTCTGACAATCTTAGTCTAATTCATCTTTTTAATATACAGCTATTCCCACATGATACAACGAAAATAATTTGTTTTGGCAGTACTGTGCAATGACAAAAGCTCTCCCCAATTATTATGGAAGTGAAAGGAGATATATCCATTAAAAACCAAGAGTTACAGGAGTTCTGTACCACCCACTGATTTATCATTCAGAGAGCACAATGCAACAGTTGGCGGAACAGTTCTAGTATTTTTCTTTTGAAAATATTAGTCAGAAGGGCCTTAAGAAAATAACTGAACTGACAATATTCTGGGTATATGATATATAGATTAACAGGGAATTTGTAAGAATAAAAATATCACATAGTTTCATGGTTTATGAAAATTTCAGAAACATAAACATTAATGAAAGAAGCCATTATTCCTTTTCAATGATGAACTGTAATAGTAGCAATTTCTTCAGACGTTTTAAAAAACAGATCTGGAGTCTATCCTCCTCCTTTCAAAAAATGCCGACAGTGTTAAACATTTATGTACTGTATACCGCTACAAACAGGGGATAACCAGGCCTACAGATTCATTCTCCCTTGTGAATTCCAAAAATATTATATCCCACAAGCAATCTTTGTTGGTACCTGAACTGCAATATAACACAGAGCCATATCCCTCAGAAACAAATTGGGACATGCAGTTCTTTAGGAGGAGGTGCCAGTATCAACAACTACCAACATGGCTACCAACAATGAAAGATGGCTTTGGACACAGAATGTGGGGATGCATTCAGAGATCTATCTGCCTGACTTGCCTGCTGGGCAGAGCCAGCCCTGCTTCTGGCAGCAAAAACAAAACAACAATGCACAATACGGTGGGTAGGACCACCCACGAATCCATGCCGTAAATGTGACAGTGCAAGGGTGGTGGGTAGGACCACCCATGAATGGTGATCCATGCCGTAAATGTGACAGTGCAAGGGCACTGCTATGTTCTATTGACACTATACCTGTGCTGAGCATCACGTCAGAGAATGGCACAACCTTGATAAGAATAAAGGGGTCAACTATAGCAGAGCTTGTTTCAAAATTCTGAGTGAAAGGAGTGCTCATCCACTTCACAGACTAACTCCTTTCTAAGCCCAGTGATTTCAATGGACCCAGAAGGGTGGAAATCTGATTAGGATGGCTTTGTAAATTCCCTAAATTTCACAAACTGGCCACTGTATACCCAAACTGCTTCTTACTTCTATGTGTGGGAGTAAGTTGTTAGACCAACTTGGAGTATAATTTTTCTCCTCCTTAGAAAGCTCTAAAAATAAACTTTTCAGAACAAAAAGTTCACATATTTGTATTAATCTATTTCATGACTGGCCTTAAGACAAGCACAAAACTCACAGTCAAACCATGGAAATTCAAACACTCATTCTGTTGATGAATCATCAAACTGATGCGTTTTTAAGATACGTTATCATCCTGTTACACAGAAGAAAATCACCAATCACCTAATATTTGGAGTTTTAAAATGTTTTATTATTTACTTTTACATGAACGGAATACCTATCATATCCTGAAATAATGCAAAAATGAATATGGCAAAAATGAAGATATGGCAAAACCAACAAGCTGAGAAATGGCTTCCTGTATCATGTGCTCTCCTTGGCATCAATGACATTTGAAAGTACCTTATTAGCCACATTAGCCTTAAGACATTTGGGCTAGTCATTCACCATCTTGGTTTCTTTAACTGCACCACTTATATAACAAAATTATACCCAAAAATCTTTTAAAAATGTATTACACAACTATTTTCTATTTACAAAATATTCTCATAACACTGGGGAAACTGATGGCAATGTACTGTAATGTACTTACTTGATATGCTCTAATTAATGACTGCACAGCCAAGTGATCTTCAACCAGTTTTTCGGCTTTACCTAGAGACTTAGTCAGCCCGTGGCTTTGGATTAGTGACGTTTTACCACCTGAAAAGTCTGGTAACTGAGACTGAAAGGCTTGCCCAGGAACAGTGCCAGCAGTAGTGTTTCGGAAAAATAAATCCCAAGACTAGACAAGATGGCAGAAAGGAGAAAAGAAGAAAAGAAAGAAGGGGGAAAGAGAGGGATATGGAAAAAGTCTTTTAGACAGAAATATTTCCTTCTAAAAATATATATGAGTATGAATTCAATCTTCTCATTCCCTCACCCCTCCACTCGTGTCATCTACCTCTCAACCTAATATTCTATCATCAGCCCCTCTTAAGTGCTTAATCTTATCGCTGAACCTAATACAGGACAGTACAAATACCATTCTCCTCTAGCTTTAGCAATATTAAGAACTGAGAGAGGCCTAGCTGATCAGAGCCAGAATGTATAGTTGCATGCTTCCTCTCCTCAGTCTCTTCCTTTTGCCATTTTTAGAAATGTTGGGCTTTTTAACACCATGAGAATTCTGATTTTCTTTTATAATAAATCTTGGTCACACGGAGCATTAGCCACGCTAGAGGGACGGAAGATAGGCGGAGTTTCCAGGCGCGATCTCACCGGCACATCTGGGAAGCGTCGGGCTTCCGTGGCGCAACCGAGGCTTCCCGCCGAAGACGTGCAATAAAAAACTAGTACCTCGGAGGTACTAGTTTCCTGAAACCGCGGGGCAAGGGCGGGCGTCTGATTGCGTTTCCGGAGGTAGTTCCGGCGCCCGCCCATGTCCCCTCGGAAAAAGGGTTTTTTTCCCAAAGTCTCCAAGGATGCGCACACGCACCCAAGGGAGCATGCGCACAATTGCGTTTTTTTAAAAAAACACCCAACCCCGTTTGCCCTGCGCCCTGCTTCTTTGCCGGGCCGCAGGACTGTGATCGGCATCTCCCCCCTACCACAGGACCTCCACGGGACCTCGATAGGTAGGTCTGCTCGACATCTTTTCCTAATAAACTCTGCCTACCTATGTCTGGTTTTGGTTGAGATTGTTAGGATAGATAAATAATACTGAGAATTTTAAGGTTATAATGAGGTATTCCAATTGCTTGAATACAAATGGTGGCAGCTAATGCTATTGGACTCTTGGCTGGCTCAGAGAAAAGATTGCGTACGGCTGTAGTTCAGTCTGCAAAAACTCTACACGTTTCCTGTCAAGCTATAGCTTCGATCCAGCAGAAATTTCCACTGATGAAATGGGTTTTCATGAGTGCAACAGGACACACACCCCTAAGAAAATGCTCACACATGAAATGTTGTTCTTGAGGAATAAGGACCCCCACAAACAGATTTGCAGAGGGAAAGGTGGAATCAGCAAAAATTGCCCCTCTTCCATTCAGTGAAGTCCTTCTTGGATCCAAGCCTGTATGCATAACAGATATTTTTTAAAGTGTGACTCATTCCAGTTCTCATCTATGTAAGTATAAAATTGAAGAAGTGTTTACTAACATGTAGTTTAACACGGAAATGATCTCCTACTCTTGGGTTTTTAGTTAGTGTGGGTATCTTTTCTTTATCCCTAGTTGTAGTCCCCTTTCCTATATTTTCTGTTGTAGTTATGTAGTCTATTGAAAAACCAATAAAATTACCCTCTTGGGGGTTTCAAAAAAAATTGAAGAAATGTTGCTAATAGGCTGAAGCAACTGGGAAACCATCTTCAGCTATTAGATCATAGTCTCAAGGAGGTTTTCACCATGATCAGGGGTATATCACACCACCAAGAGCAGCATTTTTGTTTTGTTTTGTTAGTTTAAAATTTTCTTTAAGGAAGTCAGGATAAAAATACAAAGTGAGAACTGAATGGGATGGAGTGAGGAACAGAAGACAGACCAACCTAAATGGTGAAAAAACAAAAAGTAAATTAGGATTAAATTTGGTTTGCGGGTCTGAAAAAGTTAATGACCTTTTAAAGGTTAAAGTTTTAAATAAGTGACTATAGTAATAATGCTGTGGTGAAACTATATTGTCACAAAGCTCCAGAAGATTGTTATAATTATACATTTATGATTATGCAGTCTGCTCAGTCATATTACCCTACATTTCATTACCATTTCCTTAATATTTGGACAAGGTAATATATTGTAAACTCTTAGAGTAGCAGATACAATATATGAAGGTAGCTGTATTCATTGTTTTAACATCAAAGAAGTCTGTTAAAGTTGAATGGCAACATGTTTATCAGTAAACCCAATACTCAGCAATTTACTTTACAGAATCTAGTGCTAAGAATGGCTCAGCTGAAAATCTTTTTTCACTGTAGATCATGTTTTAGTGGCAATCCCTAATATACTGCACACTTGGGAGTTTAGGTTTCTGTCCATTACCGCTATTACATCATAAGGTTTTTTCCTGTTTTTCTTTTAAATAAAAAAAAAACACCCTCATCTCCAAGCAAACAACATCAAAGAAGTCATTATACAATCACGGTAGAGTGGTTACATAGTGGAAAACAGCAACTGTTATGTAGTCAATAGCCGACCAAGCAGTTTTGCAATTAATCTTGTGATAGCAATAACTAAGCCTTGTCAACACTCTTCCCAATGATCTATGGGCCTGACACCATTCTATGAGCAGAAATAATGACACCTTTCTCAGGGTTGGTGTCATTTCATTCCCACAGCTGTTTTAGATGCTACTTTGCACTAGTGGAGCAAAGGATTACTAGGGAGGTGAAAAGGAATGAGCAAAGAGCCTCTTAGAAAAAGCTGACCCAAAAGGATGAATTGAGAGAAAGGCAGTTTCTAAGTGATGCTTTGCTGATTACTTTTGGAAGACTTACTAGTGAATCCTGAATATGCCCCACTGAGTAGTTTAAATAACAGATTCCTGGGCCAGAAAACTTGGGTCTTCTTAGAAAATTTAACTTTGGAAGGATAACATCCCATAGTATGGACTATGAAAGCCACTTCCATATATGCTTGTTCTGTTGAAACTATGTCTGTAATCCTATACACATGAAGGGCGGGTTTAAATGAGACCCTGAACATTTTTTCCTAAGTATCCATGCAGTGCCATATTTAACTGGGATGTTGGCATCTAAATGCACAATATGACAATGCTAAGGTTACATGGCCTCTTCTTACTGATCCTGCCACAAACTCCTGTCTAGTAAACGGAACCCTGCACAGGTAAACACTTATTTTCAGGAGGGCATTTGGATAAAGGGAATGAGGTGGTGATCAAACAATTGTTCAGGAGAGTGTTTTTATAACAAAAACCGGGTTCTAGCTTTAACGTCTAGGAAATTTTTCTTTCTTTCTTTCTTTGCATTGTATTATGTATGACCATGTATTATGCTCTTTTAATTGCCTTGGGTTTTTTTACAATTTTGTATTCTTCATTTTATTGCATTGTTTGAATTGTATCGTTCCTATTGCATCACCTTTCAACTCTGTCATACACCCTGAGTCTAAGTGAGAAAGGCAGACTATAAATTAAATAAATAATAAGCGCTTGACAACATGTTTAAGGCAGATTATATTTGTGAATAAGCCGTACTGAATTCTGCAAGCATTAAGTTCAAGTCAGTGTGCACAGGACCAGACTGTAAGTATGTTTGCTGTCATTCCCAGTTTTCCCAAACTGTGGTTCAAGATGTGGGAAAATGCAACACATGTGGTCCCAAAAGAACTTCATTCACGGAAAACATTTTCCCTAGTCTGCAAAACATCACAAAACTGGTATTTGCCAGATTTTATATATTAATATATATGGTATACAGCTAACCAGAACCCCAATTCCATCGGGATTTATTCATTATTGCACTGACTTGCAAGAATCCAAAAGATTCCAGGAGGTCACTTGAGCATCAGAGTACCCATATCTATAACACGGCTTTGGATCAGGACTTATATGGGCACTAGGTACAAATACTAGTGTTTAAGGAAGTGCAGTTGTTCTAAAAAAAATGAGCAAGAGCACAGATGCAGTCACTGTCTGCACAAAAATGCTAGTAAAATCCAACTAAATTCTGGTGCAGAATTTATATGACAACAGATTTAACTATATTGATTTTACTATGAACTGACCAATTTTGTTTTCATGTACTCCATTTCCCTTGCGTCACCATGCTCTTCCATCCTTTACCAAGAATGATTGCTACTAGCTTTCATATGCAAGTTCCTTTTAACCAAGAGGACAAGGTGGAAACCTATGTACCTATATTTTCAGTAAGTCTAGTAACCTGGGCTCATTGACAAACACTTGCTCATCAATGAAACGGTGATTTCAGACCTTTGGATTAATTGGATTGTAGCCATTTTATTTGAGTTCCATTTTGACAAGGCTGTGGATCACCAAGAACTCAGGCAGAAGTCTTTCCCAGAACTTCTACTTAAGATACTTCTGAAGAAAGGGGCAAGGAGTTGCTGCGGGATCTTCTTTATTAAAAGTATGTGCCATAAGCCTGACATAGACCCTCTTTATAGCTAACTGGTGTTAGAAATGTTAGAAACTACCCAGCCCAAATGTAAATGGACACTGGGCGATTCCTCTCACGTGTGGCTTGGTTTGACCTGTGCTGGAGTACCAGCCTCTATCATAAATGAAAGTTCCTGTTTCGACCAAGCTGTGTACCAAATGTCAGGTGTCTAGGACAGCAATACTCTAATGACTTTAAGTGATCTTACATTATATATATATAGCATTTACCTTGTGAACATTTTTTGGATTTTCAAGCCATGCATAATACATTTCCTCAACATAACTTGAATTACTTCCACTCAAGAATGGTTCTGTGGCTCCAGGTGAAACATAATTCCGACATGGCAGAAACGCTTTTCTGTTTACGTTTTTCTTTGTCAGAGAACAAATGCCGTTCCGTTTCAGGGTAGTTGCAATCAGCCGCCAGTGACTCATATTTGTTCATGGATCAGTCTCTACTGCAAATATTTAAAAAAAATGAATTAGAAAAACCACTAACACTTCATAGGTATATTGCAATTAAAAGCTTTCCCTTTTAACAGATTTCATACTTAGAGCCAAGGTCTAGTGGCAGAAAGCCAATTTCTGAGAAATCCTTACCAGTGAAAGCCATTTATTCTAATACGAATTATTGGTACATGGTTTCCCGCATAGCAACATTAAGGCTAAATTACACTTGAAATCCAACTCAACAGTATTAGTGCTTTAGTATGAAAGTTCTGTCATTGTTCTTGCTTAATCTCTATTCAATTATGCACAAATAATACAGAGAGATCTTATGCTATCACATTCCATTTATATTTCACTTTTAGGTATCCCTCATTTATTTTGCCAATCTGGCCTATGAAGTTTATTACTATTATTTCACTGTTTTTTAATTTTTGCACTCCCAGTTTATTGCATTGTATGTATTATGCTATTTTTATTGCATCACATTCTAATTTTGTAATCCTCCTTCAGTCTCAACAAAGAAGACAGATTATAAATGAAGTAAAAGCAAAACAAACAAACAAGAAAAAGACTGTCCTGAAACCAATTAGAAAAGGCAGGGAGGTTGCTTCCACCCATTCTGCCAAAACAAAAAAAACCCACTCTTTCTTCAATGGCCAGTTGCCCTGTGACTGGAGAAGATAAGACAGAGGACAGTCTGGACAGCTACGCATAAGTTTTATCAGACTGATCTTTCACCTCTATCTTTTCTCTTTTCCTTGTGCATCTAAGTCTGAGGGCAGGGTCAGTTTCTTGAACACCACAAGGCACTTTGGGAGACTATTGTCAGAAATACCTAAATAAATATATTAATAAATATAATAAAAGGCATAATGAAATTTATGCTTAAGTGTAATATTGAGAGGTATTAAAAACCTTATTTATAATTTAATTCAACTGAAAATTATCTGTAACTTTTTTCTGTAAAGAAAACACCTTTCCATTGGATATCTGCCAACTTTTTAATAGCCCCTCAGAACTGTAAAGTGCAGTCAATGCCCCTATTTAAGTAGTAATCCATTGACTAGATGGATAATCCACAAGGTCAAAGACAGACTTGTTTCTGGCAAGAATTATTACCGTGACAATTTAATGTATTTGTCTATGAAACGTCATTTGTCTACGAAAGCACATGGTTTCAATTAATTAAGATATCTGAGCCATTTCTTCTTTGTATCACCAAGTGTAGAAAACAAGTCAGAACTGTTTATAGCAAACAGAGATCTTGCCTAGTAAATCTAACTTCTTGTTTTTTCCCCTAGGGCCTGTTGTTCTGAAACAGAAACTTCGGCTGTCAGCAACATCACTTAGCGATCTGAGACACACAATCGCTAAGCATTTCAGCCTCCTTACCCCCTAGGCTGGTCTACTTAAGGTCAGCTCAAAAAAAGGAAAAAAGTCTGTTTGACGTTGAAACTATGTTAGTCATAAAATCTATTAAATCAACACCAAAACTGAACAACGATTTCCATCCGATCACAGGGAGTTAGAAGAAACTGAAATTTTAAAAAACGTTAATTACAGCTGAGGATTAAAATATGTATAGGTAAAGGTAAAGGTTCCCTTGCTCGAAAGCCAGTCGAATCCGACTCTAGGGTTGCGGTGCTCATCTCCGTTTCAAAGGCGAAGAGCCAGCACTGTCCGAAGACGTTTCCGTGGTCATGTGGCCGGCATGACTAAACACCAAGGCGCACGGAACGCTGTTACCTTCCCACCGAAGTGGTACCTATTTATCTACTTGCAATTTCTTGCTTTCGAACTGCTAGGTTGGCAGGAGCTGGAACTAGAGACAGGAGCTCACCCTGTCTTGCGGCACCCGGGTCTTGAACTGCTGAACTACTGACCTTCCACAGCCTGCAGTTCAGCGTCTTAACCACTTGAGCCACCGCAGCTCCAAAATATGTATACCCCACTCTCAAAACACAGTCATGTATGGGGTACTTTATAAAAGGTTCTGTTCATGCTAAAAGAACAGAACACTACAATTTAAATGCATGAAAAGACAGCAGCGTAAGAATAAGGCAAATACGAAATCAGATAAAAATTATTTAAAAGCAGTGAAAGTAAAAAAATATCTAAAACGGCAATAATAAAAGTAGAGAATCCTCTTAAAAATATGTCAACCGGTATAGTAAAAAACAAGACATAGCTAATAAACTTCACAGGGGGAAAAATTACTTTATAGCTTGGGAAATACTCTTTTCACTGACACTCCAAAGACTGCAGATTTGCAAGCAGGTATGCATCTGTTGGAAGGAAGTAGGCACCAGGGCAGACAAGACCCTGCTTCTGATACATATCCACCTTGAATCTATTTTGGAGGGCAAACAGAGTAGAGCCTCTGAGGACAACCTTAAAAAGGTTCCCTTGCTCGAAAGCCAGTCGAATCCGACTCTAGGGTTGCAGTGCTCATCTCCGTTTCAAAGCCGAAGAGCCAGTGCTGTCCGGAGACGTTTCCGTGGTCATGTGGCCGGCATGACTAAACACCAAGGCGCATGGAACGCTGTTACCTTCCCACCAAAGTGGTACCTATTTATCTACTTGCAATTTCTTGCATTTGAACTGCTAGGTTGGCAGGAGCTGGAACTAGAGACGGGAGCTCACTCCGCCATGCGGCACACTCGGGTCTCGAACTGCTGAACTACCGACCTTCCACAGCCTGCAGCGTCTTAACCACTTGAGCCACCGCAGCTCAGTCCTATAACGCCCGGTCCAGGTCTTCTGGGGTAGAGTCGGACTGATCGCCCAACAACAGATATAGCTGGGTGTCATCTGCATATTGGTGACACCCAAGCCCATGCCTCTGGGCAATCTGGGCAAGGGGGCGCATGTAGATGTTGAATAACATCAGAGACAGCACTGCCCCTTGAGGCACTCCGCAGATCAGCGGGTGCCTTTGGGACAACTGCTCCCCGAGAGCCACCCTTTGTCCCCGACCTTGGAGAAAGGAGATGAGCCATTGCAAGGCAATTACGTCACTCTGTGTAAAGATTTGGTGAGAGGCTTGTATAATAAACTGTATATTATTTGTACATAAGCCTGAGAGACTCCAGTCTTTATTGGATACCATTGCACCCATGTTTGGTCTGCTGTGGGCTAACACCGCGCAATATTGACAGGGGGGGGGGTACACTGTTCTACTGTAGGCATATACAAGATTTTCAAGGGGTATTTTTGTTTTTTTAATGTAAATAATTTTTACAACAATTAATATGCTATAACGTATTTAATGAAAATACATTTTATTCAAGAGTTCAGTATTTGCAATGTTGTAAAATTTAGCTTAATATGCAAACATGCTGGCAGTCCTAGCTACTGTAACTATGAAAGACAGTTTCTGTCTTTCAAGCAATGATCAAGAGTGACCAATTAATCTTGGAGGTAAGAATTAAGTTGGTATTTGTATTCCTTCCGAAACTGCTACACTGTACAGTAGAGAAGATCAGCAAACAACTGCAGGGCATTAAAATTGTGGCCAGCCTACTTATGTATCTTTATAATACATTTTAAGACTACCAAAAACTACAAAAAACACTGTCAACCCTTGGCCAAGAAATTCTCCCATGATACAGATGTTCAATTTGTAACTTACAGCTAACCTCTTGTTCTTGGCCAACTTCCCCCTAAGCAAATTATAACAAACTTAGCCTGATACCAGGTGCAATCTTTGGAATTACTCAACTCAGGTAGACCAAGGTGACTACACTTATAATGGGTCAATAAATTCCCCCTGAAACCAAATTCTCAGTGCACCAATACAAGTGTCTTTACTGCAAACCAAATATCTCTGAAAAATAGACCTGAACAAAACTCAGGAATTTTCAATCACTAAATATATCACTAAAATAGGATTACTGCTCTTTCACTATATGGAAATTGCTGGTAAGTTCAGGTTCCATACGGATCTTCAGGTTCATCACAGATTCATATTTCCTGCTTCTAGGCAACAAGCACAGGTCAAATGTGTGATTAATACACTTACAAGACATTGTTCCATTTAGATTTTGTTCATAAAACTTCTACCCAAAGTCTCAACCTACCGGTAGTGTTCATTCTTGAATAGGCTGTAGGGACACAGAAACCACAGAAAATGTAGGGATTGGGACGAAATACCATAACAGCAGGCATTAAAATCCAAATGCAAGTCCTATGAGCTGGGGTCATTTCCTGCAGGAGCGCACAGGAGTGGAGCTCCGGCAGTAAAGAGCTCAGGGGGCGGGCACATGCAACAAGCCCCACCTCCGGCTCCCAGCAGCCTTCAGTCAGAGCAAGAAGCAGCCAGGTAAGTTGCAAAGCTCCCCCTGTCCCCCCAGTCCAGTGGCACCTTTAAGACCAAGTTTTATTCAGGTACAAGTTCTCCCTCCTCTGCGGGGGGTGTTGCCTTCTGACACATTTCCGGTGATGTCAGGGGGTGTGGCATATGCAAATAAGTTATGCTAATGTGTTATGCTAATGAGCTCCTGCACTTCTTTTTCTACGAAATGACCCCTGCATGAGGAAAGGTTGAAGGAACTGGGTATGTTTAGCCTGGAGAGGAGATGACTGAGAGGTGATATGATAACCATCTTCAAGTACTTGAAGGGCTGTCATATAGAGCACGGAGCAGTTGTTTTCTGTTGCTCCAAGATGGTTGGACTAGAACCAATGGGTTGAAATTCAATCATAAGAACATAAGAGATGCCAATGTTGGATCAGGCCAAAGGCCCATCCAGTCCAACACTCTGTCACACAGTAGCCAAAAATACCAGGTGCCATCAGGAGGTCCACCAGTGGGGCCAGGACATTAGAAGCCCTCCCACTGTTGACCCCCCCCCAAGCACCAAGAAGACAGAGCATCACTTGCCCCAGAGTCCTTAGCTATACCTTGTGGCTAATAGCCACTGATGGACCTCTGCTCCATATGCTTATCTAATTCCCTTTTGAAGCCGTCCATGCTTGTAGCACCC